CAGTCAAGATGCCCACGGAGAAACAATATTTTCAAAAAATCTTCGAAATCGACCACGCTGCTTTTCAAGGCTCATGATTGCCAGCTCTAGTACTCGGGCATCCAACTTTTTATCAGTCGCTGACAAGTCGTTGATAGCGATGGTGCATACGCGGATGCTACACGCTGTCTCGATTGACTCAAAGAACTTCTGTAACACCCCAACACGGACCATGGACTACCATTATTGAGCAGAATCTTGATCTTCTGACGGGGGATCTCCCGTCCACTATCGTGCAACTGTCTCGTCACCTGTTCTGCAAACATTTTGAATCTTGTACAGTATTCGATGTTTGAACCAGGCCTTTTACCCTTTGGTAGGATCCAGTTTTGACTAGTGATCCTTTGATTAATGGCAGACTATTCTGCCTCTTCTTGGACCCAAACCCGATGAGCATAGGTTCGTGGAACATGGCGCCATGTCACTTAAAAACTCTTTCTTGAGAAATTATTCTTCAAAAAATACTTCTAGTACTGGAATTAAATTTACTTGCAGATGAACTTAAGCGTCATTTCGTCGACAGCCGGGCGAAAGTGGTGCTCACAAACAAAGAGTCGTTAACAAAAGTGCTCACTGCCAGTCGAGACTCGCCGTACATTAAGGTATGCTATATGTCTCTTTCTTGTTCTTTTTCTGCCTCGCAGTCCGCAGTTCTTGTTAGACTTCGCCACCTTAGGTAAGCTATATGTAGATACAATTATTACTCGGTTATCTTCTGTCAAGTGCCAACTTCTAAAAGGATAATTTCAGCACGTAATCTGTATTCAAGATGAGTCACACAGTCAGCTTCCATCTGGGGTGCACTGTTGGGATAAAGATGTCACCAAAACACCTACTGAAGCGATACCCAAGCCAGATATCGACATTGTTAACGATATGGTGTTCTTGCCATATTCAAGGTGAGCACAACATTTTTGATATGATAATAGCGATGAAAAAAGACAAAAAAGGACAAAATATTTGCATTGACAAGTCCCTGTTTTGGGATGCGGCACGCATTCTACCTTCCATTTGTACATTCGTAGTGGCGTTTGAATGCGATGTGGCCTATACAATGACTTGCGGAGGCCAGCCGAATTATCACTCAATGTTATTCTCCTAGACAAGTTTGGTACCAATTAATTAGCGACCCCGGAGAGATGGATTCTTGTCCATCTGAGCTCGGCGCGGTCCAGGACTCAATGCGCAACCAGGCGAGTGGTAGGCAGCGCCACTTGCCTTTACACCTTTCGTCCATCACAAAAAACAAACAAAAATTTTGCAAAATATGACAGATGTTTTCGTGTCGATGCAAACTTAAGCCGAATTCACGCTGGGAAAGGTAACCATTGTCAAATTATCTTAGCAATGGTATAAGTCGGTACGAAGGCCCTCTTCCAGCCCATCGTCATCCATCCTGCCACTCCCTCTCCTTCCTTCGTCCTCCCTCTTCTTTCTCTCTTGCAGCCCCCCTCTCTCTCAACCTATTCCCCATCCTCCCTATCACGACCTTCCTCCCTTGCTCCATCTCTCTAACTCTCACCCCTCTCTCTCTCTGCTCGTCCCCCCACCCAGCATTCGTCTCCTCTCTTTTCCTTCTCCCCGTCCTCTCTTCGTATAGCATGCTTTGCCAAGAACCATGGAAAAAGAAGGAAGAACCATGAGAAACGGCCCAGAACCCGAGAAATGGGACCCCTTCCTTGCCCGTTGATTCGAGCATTGATGCGACTCTCATCGCTGTGCCCTCTTCAACACTACGCTCTCTCAGCTATCTAATCACTCGCCACGTATTGAACTACGGCGAGTGATCAGATGATCGGTGGGCGGAGATCGCCGGACCCGCCAGCTTTGAGGCATGATAGGGGGTCCGTGGGTCCCTCAACTAGGTCAGTTTCCCTTTCTTCGACCTTTATTCTTATCGTGAATTCCTCCCTTAACATGAGGTGACAGCTCGATTTTAGATGTTTATTCTCTGTCAGCTACAGCCAGCCTACCAATATTCCTATATTATTCTGGAAGGTGTTTCTTTTTCTGTTGGATAGTTTTTTGATCATTTTTTCCATACAATAAGTGAAATTCCGTGTTGACCAGATTCTCATACACTCGACTCATTTTTGTGTTTCAGTGGGACGACAGGAGCGCCAAAGGGTGTGATGATTTCTCATCTGAACATCGGCGCCATGATGAATATTTTCGAATGGTAAGTTTACACTCGTTTCATTCACTAAATTCCTTTCCTAGGCCCTTTCTTGGTAGTGAGAATGACAAATTCTGCCATACGAAATAACAAAGAAAGAAGCCGAAGGCGCTTTTCCGAATCAGTCTTTCTAGGCCCACAGATCCTTTCACTTTACCTCGTACACATTCAAAATGGGTAACAAGTTATGAATAGTGACGTATGTTTTGAAAGGGATCCGATTCTCTTGACTAGCACTCGACCCTGAATTCCACTTATATGTAATTTATAACTTGCAAAGTTATCGTTTATGTTCAAGGCACGACGATCATCATATGTGTGGCGCATTGGAGCCGTCTTGGAACATTGCGAAGGACAAGAAACTGATGGTTTTGCCGTTCTACCACTGCTATGGCTTTTGTAAGAGCTGCCTTCTTCTCAGCATTGGAACCTTTTCTACTTTAAATGACTATGATTCAAGCTCTTCTCATGGCCGGTCTCCTGAAAGGCAATGCCGTTGTTGTGATGAAACGCTTCGAACCAGAGCTCTTCTGCAAAACTATTCAGCGCCACCGGGTACGCTTTTCTTGGAGGTATCTCTTACGGCTGTATTGCTTCTATTTTGTACTGCTATATACCTCTAACATAGTACTCACGCGCTCGTCTTACGATTTTCTTATAGGGTATACCCAGGCTCAAGAATAGATACTTTATTTTATTTTATTCACATCCCTTATTTTCAGCTATTTTCATTTTCCTTGGTGAATGGCAGTGGTTTGTTTGGTAAAGATCGATAAATTGAACAGTTCTTCCTTTCTGGGTGTCTACATTTATAACTCCTCTTGATCGTCAGTAGCTACACTCTATTTCGGAAAACGAGAAGAACGTCGAGTGCAGACCACACACCACAAGTGACGACGGCCAAGAAAAAAACCGCTTTTCTTGGCCGTCGTCACTTGTGGTGTGTGGTCTGCACTCGAGCTCTTCTCGTCTTCCGAAATAAAGGGTATGTAGACTACGAATGGGCGCTTCATGTCGAGATCACGGTAAACTATGACCCAGAACCCGAGGAGCGAGAGCGGTGGTGTTTGAGGTTTTCGCGTCGTAGCTGGGGACAGCTGGAAATATGTGTCAAAAGCAGTAGCTGCTGGAGACCTTAGAAAAGCTCTTAACACGTTGACGACCGTGTGGTATGATGTCATACCACACTCTTTCGGCCACGTGGGACCGTGTGACATGATGTCATGTCACAGTCTTTTTTAAGCTGGTTTTCAAACATTTTAGGTAACTTATTTTCGGTTGATGGGCTATCGAGTTTTTCTAAAAAAATTTGAATAATGATCAAATCACAGGAATCGCTAAAATGGCCAAAATCGCATAATCGGAGACCTACCACACAAGAAAGATAACAAATACACACTTCCTGAGAAAAAGGAGTTCTCGTGGGACCGTGTTGACATGATGTCATGTCACACTCGCGCGGTCAAAATAATGCGCGCGGTCCCACACGCCAGACAGCGAAAAATAGCGCGGTCGTCAAGCGTGGTCGGTCCTATCGTACTTTTTCGAAAAATTTTTACGACCCCCCTCCCCCAAGGTGGATTTGATACGACCCCCTTTTTTCCCTACCTCCACCATCTCCATCTTCCATCAGAACCCCGCCCACTTTTTCCTCCAAAAATCCCGTCGAGCGGGGGTATATAGTCACTCTGAAACAGTAAAAATTTACCAAAATTCCCTAATTTCCCACCATTCCACCAATTTTCCACCAATTTACCCCACTTCTACCTATAATCCCACGCTTCATTTTCTAGGGGGTATATACGCGCGCTGAAACGGCAAATTTTCTCCCGCGCCACTCCCCACTCATCACATGCAACTTCTTACAACCGAAGCAAGTACGACCCCCCTCTACAAACTCATCAAAATACGACCCCCCCGTTGCTACTTGTAGCAACATAGGGTTGACCCTGCGTCAACGGTTAAAACAACACGTATATTGTTGCGCCCCTCTACGTCCATTTTGAAGCAATTTAGGGGAGGAGTTAAGGTGTGGAATGTGTCAGGTTGTAGATTCATTGACACTATTGGCAGCATCGCCCAAATTGCTGATTCTTATAATCAGTGAGACCGTCAGAGATAGAGGACGGATCGAACTGCAGCGCTCAGTTCCTCAACATACTACCTACACAAGTGAAATGGTGATGTTGGGATGAGGATGAAGTGGAATGCTACCAAGGGAGAAGTGGTCAGGATTGTCGAAAGTTCCAGACGGGCGAACGGTGCTAATGAGGCAGGCCAAAATTGCACTGGATGTTCGGTGTTCGAACATTTTGTACAGTGCATCACATGGGAGGCCTCACATTTGTCATTCTAGCTACAGTTAGCATAGCTTACAGCTCCTCTATGAATGACCTCCAGTTAAGGGAGCGTTGATCAAGAAGCGAGTTTCTGTTTTTTGAATTCCCTCTGAAGGCAGCAGGTACGATGGCTGTGTGGAGCACTAAGAATGACGTCATGGTAGAAGGACGCCGGTTGTCAGGGAGAACTGGGAATTTTCTGCGTTTCCTCTGCTTCTCCTGTAAAATATAGACGCCAGCTCAGAAATGTGGGAAGGCCTCTTGCTGTGGAAAAATCCTTTGTTATTTTTTCCTTATCCTCTAGTAGTAAATGGGCCGGTGATTTTTTTTTTGTGTTTGTTTTTTTAGATTCTAGTTTTTTGATTGTGTTGCTTCATTCGTGAGCTTTGGTCTTGGGTGTGTTGGTGGTTGTTTTTGTGTGGGTGTTGTGTGTTTTTTTGTTGTTTTGTTTTTTGTGGTGTGGGGTTGGGTGTGGTGTGGTTGTGGGGTGAGTGGGGGGTTTGCTTGTTCCCAGCTCTTTTGTTTGTTGTTTTTGGGTGATTTTGTGCTTTTTTTTGTCTTGTCTTGTTTTCAAATTTTAGTTTTTTTGGTGCTGGCATGTTTTGTTGTTTGGTTATTTTTTGGTTGTGTTCTTATTTCGTTGTTTGGTTTTTGGCTGGTTTTGTGTTTTTTATTAGTTTTGTATAGGTTGCTGCTCTTTGGGTGTTGTTTTTTTGGTGGTGTTTGGGTGGGTGGTGGGGTGTTTGGTTTTGTGTATGGTTAGATTTTGGTTTAGATTTATGTATTTCTGTGTGTTTGGTTTTTGGTTTTTTGTGATGGTGGTTGCGGTGCTTGGTTGACTTTCAGCTTGTTTTTGTGGGGGTTTGTGGTGGGGTTTTGGGGGTAGTTGTGATTGGGGTGTTGGTTTTATGTGTTGTTGGGGTGGGTGTTGTGGTGATGTGTGTTGGTTGGTGGGGTGGTTATGGGGTTGGAAGTTGTTTGTTGGGGTGGGGATTTTTTTGGTTGTAGTTTGGTTGGTTTTTGTGAGAATGTGACGACGTTTGGTGATTGTGGTGGGTGTCTTATATTTGTTTTTGTCGTGTTGTGGTAGATTTCAGTTTGTGGTTTCCAATGTAGAGTGTTGTGTTTTGTTGGTTTTTGTTGTGGTTTATGTGTCATTTAAAGTGACGTGGCTTGCATTGGGGTTTTGGCTTTATTCTTTTTGGATTTGGGGGGTGTTTGGGGTTGGTGGGGTTTGTTTGGTTTTTGTCTGTCTTTGTGTTTTGTGTTGGTGTGTAGTGATATCGTGTGTGTGGGGGTCTTTGATAGTGGACTGTTTATTGGTTGTTATTTCTTTTTTTGTTTTCATTTTTATATCATAGCTTGGGGATGTCCATCAGGGGGTATGTTTCATCTGTGTTTAGTTTTATATTCTATTCTTTCAATCCTTCTTGGTATTGTGGGGTTATTGTTTCGGGGGTATATCGTTGCTTTGTCGGTTTGAGTTGGGGTTTTTCGAAATTTTGAAATTGGGTGTTGGGTGTGTTTTGTGTTGGTTGAAGGTTTTGCTGTTGTTTGTTGGGGGTTATTTGTGGTTTTTTGAGTTATCTGATTTGTTCTTGGTTGTTGTGGGGTGGTTCTTTTTTGGTGGGTTTGTGTTTGTTTTTTGGTTTAAACACATTGTTTTATTCGGGTGGTTGTTTGTTGTTTTTTTGGGGGTGGGGTTGTTGTTTGTTTGGTTCGGTGTGGTTTTGGTTGTTGTGGTTTTTTGGTTTTGTTTGTTTTTTGTTTTGGGTTGGTTGGGTGTTTTCTTGGTGTTATGTCGTTATCAGGGTTTAATTATGGTACAAAACTGTAAAATGCAGTTCACCATTACGTCGTTGATAGGACACTTCATAATACGCCGTCGGCTGCGGCTTAAATCGGGTTGTTGGTTTATGCATAGTGAGTTATTTGTTCTCTTTGTTGGGCTGTATTCTTTTTGATGTGTTGTTTTGATTCAGTGAGTGGGGGTGTTGTTTTGGGTGGTGTTGGTTTGTGTGTGGGGTTTGGTGGGTTTTTTGTTTTGGTTAAGCAGGATGTGGTGTGGGGGGTTGTGGGTGGTGGGTTGGGTTGTTTTGTATAGTGTTTTTTGCGTTGGTGTTTTTTTTTTAGTTCTGCTGCACAAATGTCCTGCGGAGTTTTGGGTTTGTTGTCATTCTAGGATGTTTGGTGTGTTGTGTTTTGGGGTTGTTTGTGGTTGTTGGTGGTGGTGGGTTGGTTGGGGGGGGGGGGGTATGTGTTTGGTTGATCGGTATTCTTGTGTGTTTGTGGTCGTTGTTGTGTTGTGTTTGTTCTGTTTTTTGTTGTTGTTGGATTATTTTTTTGTGGTTGGTGGGATGTCTCTGGGGGTACTCTTTGCTTTTTTCTGGGTTGGGTGTGTCTTTGGTGTTTGGTGTGGGGTGTATCAGTAGTGTGGGTATGTGGTGTGGTGTTTTTTGTGTGTTGGATTTTTGTTTTGCTGTTGCGGTCTGTTTGGTTGATCTGGTTTTAGGATTGCATGTTTACGTGGTTGTGTCGGTAGGGTTTAGCTGTTGGAAGGAGAATTGTTATGTCTTGTTTGGACTTTGTGGGGGCGCGGTTTCGTGGGTCCTCTATGTCTCCGTGTTGTGCTTTTTGTGTGGTGTGTGTTGGTGTGCGCGGAGCCGCGTTTGAGTGTGTGTGTGTGTGTGGTATGGTGTGTAGTGGGTGTGGGGGGGGTGGGGGTGTGTGGTTGTGTGTGTGGGGGGGGGGGGGGGGGGGGGGGGGGGGGGGGGGGGGGGGGGGGGGGGGGGGGGGGGGGGGGGGGGGGGGGGGGGGGGGGGGGGGGGGGGGGGGGGGGGGGGGGGGGGGGGGGGGGGGGGGGGGGGGGGGGGGGGGGGGGGGGGGGGGGGGGGGGGGGGGGGGGAGGGGGGGGGAGGGGGGGGCGGGCTTAGAGGGAAAGGGAGCGAGAGGGCCCGTGTGGGAGGGGCAGGGGGATTGGGGGGTGGGTTGGGGGTGGGGGTGTGGAACTCGTTCTGCTGCGGGGTTCAGTAAATTGTAGTGGTCGGGTTATGAACCCGGGGGTGAGGGGGGTGGGACAATCACAAATGTTGGCTGTGGGGGGTTTTGGGGGAGCGGTGGGTTGGGGCACGGGAGAGTTGGGTCGGTTATGGTGGCGGAGGCGGGGGGAAGAGACGGCGGGGTGGGGGTGGGGGGGGGTGCGGGGGGGGAGGGGGGGGGGTGGGGGGGGGGGGGGGTGGGGTGGGGGGGGGGGGGGGGGGGGGGGGGGGGGGGGGGGGTGGGGGGGGGGGGGGGGGGGGGGGGGGGGGGGGGGGGGGGGGGGGGGGGGGGGGGGGGGGGAGGGTCGTTGTGTTATCAGGGGCCTTTGTGGGTGGGTGCGGTGGGTGGGGTGGGTGCTCTTCTCATCTGATGCGCTCGCGGTGCGGGGCGGGGGGTGGTGGCGTGTGATGACTGTGGTGTTATGCTATACGAAGTTATTACGCTTCGCGCTTAGTCTCTCGTCGTTTTAGCACAGCCAATTAGGAAGGTGAGTGAGCCCTCAACCTGAGCGTTTTCGACGGATTCTTTTCCTTTTTTCTTCACTGCCGGCCCACTTGGCACCGATACATTCACATTCGTGTGCAAGAGCCACACCAGTGCGATCCTGGGGCATGCCTTTAAGCAATTAGCTAAATTCTTCATTTCAGATTATCGACCCCGAAACGGGCAACGAGCAAAGTACAGGCGAAATCGGTGAGATTTGCCTACGAGGTCCGACGGTGATGCTCGGCTACTTTCATAACGTCGAGGCCACAAAGGATTGCATCAGAGATGGATGGTTGCACACAGGTACACTCCATAAGAACCCCCTCATAATAGCTTAACTTTTTGTTAGAAACAAGATCATTGAAAACTTCTGCAAGATCCACTAAATATTCACTAGCTATGGGGAAATATGCGAGGGTTGGAATAATAGGTAGTTTCTCGTTATGAGTGACATACCTCCCCATAATCCTCATTCAGATTCGCAAATCAAATACCCAAACACAGATATTGATATTTATTGACTAATCTCCTTCCCGGGAGGCGCCACGTATTTTACCTCTGCATAAAAATGTAGTGACATGAACGAAGATTTGGTCTTCATACATGAGATAACTAATGAGTTTGGGGAATAAGAAGACCACCTCATGAGCTAGTCGGTGTCTTTATCCTCTCAAAAACTCCGCCAGTAATTAATTTCCTCGGAGGAACGGAAGGACCAATTGATCTGAGCAAAAATTGATCGATGGCTCGACTTGTGGTAATGAGCGACGGCCCCACTCATCACTACATTATCTTCGCTGCATGCATTCATGTGAATGCAGTAAAAACGTCACAGATGACGTTGATCAAACTTTCTTGGGATGCGCCATGCACTTAACTTCCCTTATAAATGTGGGGATGGTTCAGAAAAAGAATGAAGAGAGTGAAAATGAATGGTAGCCATGTTTTCTTTTCCTTTAATGGATGTGCAAATATCTGGCATTTGTCACCCAGAAATCTAATTGAATGAGAAATTTGACTCGTAAACGTGTTGAACGCAGGAAAGTTCATGCGCCCAACGCACTCACATCTCAGAGTTATGTCTCGATTTCCTTCCCACAACATATAATATACAACTAGTATACAACCAAACAGTATAAAACCTAAGGTAAACCTATAAGCTGTCGTCACGGGCACCCTTCTGGCTCCGCCCATGCTGGCCAAAAGATCTATTATTTATCTTTTGTCGTGACGTCCTTATTTAAGGTGATCTCGGTTACGTAGACGACAAGAACTACCTCTTTGTGGTGGATCGTCTCAAGGAGCTCATCAAAGTGAAGGGATTCCAGGTGAGCCTTAGCCGAAAGACCGATCACATTCCCCGCTGTTCTGCACTTACAAGGCCAAACAAGCCCGAATTTTTGACTTCACCTCGCAGTGACCTGCTGAAATTAATCAACTTGGTCCTTGCTGGGCTCCATGAAGGGCCCGATAGGGTTCATGACGAAAGATGAGCATGTCACCGTGAGTTAAACTCAAAGGGGCAACGAGAGTCCTTCCATAAGATACCAATGGTCTTCTCATAATGCACGTATGATTCAGGTACCGCCAGCTGAATTAGAGGACATCTTATTGTCTCATCCTCAGATACGGGATGCAGCTGTGATTGCAGTTCCGCATGCTGAGAAAGGAGAGGTTCCAAAAGCATACGTCGTGCGCACAACAGACACCCTCCGAGAGGATGATGTGAAAGCCTTTGTCAACGGTCTGTTTTGTGGAGCATTTTTTGCACAACAGTAAAACTCATTTGGGAGGTACCAGTGGACCATGAAAAAATTTTAGAGCGCATCCTTTTCAGGTCAAGGTTTCTTCGTATAAACATCTGGCAGGCGGAGTTGAGTTTCTAGAGGCTATTCCAAAATCGCCCACAGGCAAAATTCTCAGGCAAATATTCTCGGGAATCGGAATAAATCGAGTCAAATGATGTATTAAAATGCCGTACAAGGATGAATGAAAAATCAAAGAATTAGGCGCAAAGTGTGCCGCCCATGGCGTATATCCGTTTGATATTTTCGATTCTTCTGATTTTATATGAGGCATTTTAGTATTTTGGAATGACGGAAGCCATGTCTTCAATTCAGTGACCACTTCGGGCGCAATCACGCACTTTTTACACTTTCTAGCACAATCTTTTAGGATTCCAAATTCAATTGGAGAACACTAGCAAAATTAACAGAATTGTATTAAACTTGAATTCTTGACCTGTTCTACTTATCCAAAATAGGCATCAGTAGTCTTTCTCAATGTAAAGATCAGCGGACTCCGAATTTGAGAAAAACAAATCCTTCTTCGAACGACAAGGGCGCAAACCTGGAACCCATTTCCAACAGATTGAAAATATGGTTATTGATCACAGCCACCGCACCTTCATCAGAAGTAACGCATCTCCTCTCTAGAGAGCCACTTCTTCCTCTGTGCATCCTCATACGCCTTCGCCACAGCCTTTTCGTGCTCCCACTCACGAATGTCAGCGTGGTACTCACGAATTTGGCGCAGACGGAACGCTCCCCAAAGAATCCCAAGGCCAAGGGCCGTGTACCTGCGAATGAGCGTTATGGAAATTGCACAAAACTCTCAAACGGGAGCACGTGCACAAAAGCAAAGCGGTTAAAGCATTCACCTTTTCCAGATGGCATAAGTGGCGAAAATGGATTTGGCGGTGGTTGGGTGGCTTTAAGACCACGGAATTGGGATGACGGAAGGAAGAGATGCGTCGGCTTAGATGACGAGACGAAGGAAAAGATCCAAATCATTTACGAAACCGAACAGCAAGCAGAGATCGTAGACAGAAAGGAAAGGACGTATGCAGTAGTGACAGCATATGCGAGAGCGATGCGAGGCAGCTCACAACATAATAAAAAACAATCGGGAGGCGGGGCGTGAGTGGGGTATATAGGCATTATTGGTATTTCTGTTTGATTGCCGTAATGTGGCAATGGAACCCAGGCAAATCTGATGGGGGACGAAAGAATTGAGTACAAGCGGCGGAGATTCGAGCGAGCCAAGAAATCGAAAGTAAGGATGTACGCGAGACGATGTTGTATGCAGAGCAGGTTTGATTTGTATATCTTGAGTGATCGGTCATAGCAGGTGGGCAGCAACGGGTTCGGTCGTATTGGGGAGCAGCAACGGGCGCCAGCGGTCTGTAGAGTAACGTCAAATGTGAGGGTGGGCAAGTGAATGGAAAGACGAGTGGGATCGAATAGATAAGAGAGAAAAAACGTGCGTCGCGTCAACGCTGGTGGGAGTAAATGCACAAAGCTCGCCTCTGGTTGAAGAAAGCGCGAGGTAAAAGGAGCGAGGCGGATCTTCGTAGAGGCACGAGCCGGAAGGTAATTCATCCACAAAAGCAGCAAATACGTAGAGCCTGAAAAACCAAGCAGCCCGTCGAACTGATCAAATCGGACTAATGTTTCTGTGCGTTGTTTTTAGCGAAAGTAAAATAAACGCATAAAGGATAAAGCTAGAGAATATATGATTTGAATAACGAGGAAGTGTAGAGAAGCAAATAGAAGTTAGACATGATAGGGTAGATAGAATTTGAAAAACTCACGGGACTAAGGTCTAATAGCAATTGCTCTCGTCGGCCAATCGCTGTTGATCTGCCACGAAGCGCTGTTACTCGTTGATCGTTAGACACGGTGCTTAGGTTAAAGGAGCTAGCAATTTACGTGATCTAGGTCGCGACAGGCACTGCTGCAGCAAAATAGCCGTCTGAGTGTGAATGGTCGGAAGAGAATCCTGAAAAACTCGAGTGAAGTGAACCCAGTGGACGGATGAATTGAAAACACCGTCTGTTGAATAGTAATACTACTTTTCCTCGATTGTCTCATTTCGTAATTACAATAAGTTGATCTTTCAGAGACTTTTTGAAGTTATCACTCTCGGAGATCTGAATTCGTAATTTATTCATATTGTGTAACATGAGCGACCTCAATCCAAACGTTCTTTTCCTTTTTCTCAACTCAAACAGAAAATTCTTCGCAATTACTATTCGATAGTGTTGGGACGAAAAGTAACGGTACCTGTTTGCCGGCTAAATTACAAGTAATGAGAACAGCACTCGTGACAACATTCATTTGTAGGAATTTCTCCGCTAATGCTGCTAACCGTAGCCTGTCTATACGCAGGGTTTCAGGATATGGTACTGGATTTAGAGACTCAACTAATCTGAAATGAAATGCATCATGGAAACGGAACAGGAAAGTTAATATGACATCATAACCAACACATACTTGAGATAGCCTCGACTGGTTGTCTTAACGATCTCATCGTCATCAGGTTCCTCAGAGTGCTGTCTTTCCCTTTTTTGATCAGGTTGCGAATCATCAGAAGTAGAAGGACGAATTTCGAGATAGGCAAGCTTAATCCACTCTTTAGTCATGATCGAACCATCTGTAACATCACCGAACATATAATCTCTCATTGAAGGAAGAAGGAAGGTCATGATATTACCAGGAAATTTCTCCAAATACTTCAGAAACTCTTTGTACTCGAATTTTGAGCTGTACTCCTCCACAGCGGCACGATTGGTCGAAAGCACATAATTTGTCAAATCGTCCTTCATGATATCCATCAAAGTGAATATACCCCTGAACGGACGCAGTCAACTACTTGAAGAGCATCAACAAAACCTGGACTCACTTTATCATCTCAACAATCCCTTCCTCGTGGCGCAACTTTTCCACAATGGTATCCCGTTCTGGAGCGCACAACCTTCCAAGCAAGTCAATGATGAAGCGCCCGATTCCGTGGAACATCCATGCAGTTCTGCTCCATCTTACTGCGCAACGAATCTGAAAACAGTCGGTCGTGAAGAAGGATGGCATCGTGAATGAGATTTAAAAATGAATTGAATTCGTAACAAGAGAATCTTAGTCTGCGTGTTTTAGCTTGAAAGCGCACACAAAAAATTGGTATCGATGCTCAGTACCATAACTCTCCATAAAATAAGGCCTTATCCCAGCAAATACTGTTGAATGAAAATGAAAGTAAGGGAACCATTATAATGATTTTTTCTTACATTAGGTTTACATATGCGATCCTCCAGCCAGCATAAAAATCTAAGGCTGGTGTCAGAGTCCGCGATTTTAGCGATTTGCGCGATTCACGCGACGGGTCACGGAAATCACAAGTGCCCGATCAATACTGCAAGGTGTTCTCCAATCCTGCCGCCACTTCTGCTTGATAGTGATGGCTGAATGATTCCACTTGTTTCATATTCAGTGTTTCAAATGTTCACAAATGGGCACTTGCAATTTTTGCGATCCGTCGGTTTCGCGCAAATCGCACAAATCGCGTGAATCGCGAAAATCAGCGAAACCTGCGACATATCGCAGACTCTGACACCAGCCTAAGCATTACAGCTGGAAGCAGAACAGGATGAACAATCCATTTAACAACACGTACTTTCATCTAAAACGGAGTTCACTTCTGCTCTAAGTCGAACATGAGCCGAAGAAAGTATATCGTCCAAGATAGTCTGAAAAGAAGGCTTAAGTGCTAATCGCGAAACAAAGGAAACAACAAAGCTTACTTGCTTAATTTCCATCAGAAGATTAAACGCATGCGTGTAGTCGGGAGGATCCTTGGCTAGATCTTCGGTAAGAAGATCCCAGTAAGCACGATGCATATTCTCTCTGGAAACTACCAAAAAGAAACTCTACAGTAAACTGCAAGACAGCAGTAGCTCTTCACTGAGTCGAAGAGCCGCAACAACCGTGCATTGTTTCGAACAAGTGTACAAGTCACCTACTTTATGGCGGCTTGTATCGGATTCGATGGCACGTCCGACACAGAAAAGTTGGGATCAATCGCGATTTCGTGAACCAGCGCGAGGTTATCCATAGCAACTGACATTTTCAAGAGCTCATCAGGAGCAACAAAGCGAGCGGGCGAGCCTCCTGGAAACGATATTCAAATGATTAACTACTACACATTAGATGTAGAGGTCTGAATAACACTGCTGGGGAAGTAACGCTAATCTTTACTTATACAATAATACACACCTCAAAACTATGTCGAACAGAATTGATCGTTAAATTGACAGTAGTAAACATATTTGGAGCTCTAGGCAGACGTGCATCGAGGGGGGAGGGGGGGGGGCAGCTTGCACAAAGGTAACTAATGCTAAGTCTGACGGAGGGGAACGATTCTGGACAGAGGAATTGGCGAAACGCTTTAACATCCGTCGGAGTCCCTCTCCCTAGAACTTTACTCCTAAAAACTGAGTGGTTTTCGTGAATCTGACGCAGTTGTCAGTGGGCTAACCCCCCTCCTCTCAAAGGACATGCTTGTGGTCTTCGTTGAAGCAGAAATGCGACTTTTCCCGCTTTTCGCGCGAGAAACTTCTTTGGCATGCGAGAACCCCAGTTCTACGCTCTGCTACCTGGGAAGTAAGGAACTAAGCGTTCCTAGTATGGTAGGAAGAATAACGCAGTAGCAAAAACTACGCCAGCTAACTCAAGCCTATTGCAAGCCTAACGATACGTCTCTGCACTAATACAGGATTGATACAAAAATCAATCATTACCTGCAACCCATGATGGTAACTGAGAGTTGGACTGTTCTCCAGACGACGATGGTATATCAATGCCGCTGGGCTCACTCATTTTCCTCTTCTTAGCACTTACTTCTGCCTGATCATCGGGATTTTCGTTGTTCGATTCCGAATTCTTTGACGAAAGACTTTCATTTCCTTCATTCATAATAGCCTGGAAAAGTTAGATACTGTAGTAAGAGCATGCATTCGCAGCCAAAAGATATTTAGAAAGAATCGCGGTAAAGTGACTGGATAAAAGGCCCACGAAGTTCCTTTATTACAACAGCGGTTATAATTCAATAATCAGATATGTTTCCCAACATGATTAACTGTGATCCGGACAAAGAAAGATTGAACCTCAGCAAGGTAATCATGAGAAAACGCAAAATCGCTGACGACACGTCTTAGAACAAAGATCGCATAGGACAATTGGACAAACTCGTCCGTAGATGGGTCGTGCCGCGACGTGTCGGACTAACAAATTCCACTTAATTCATTGGTTAGATATGTTACTTGAAATCTTCTTGGTGGAACATTATGACTATGCAAAAATCTCAAGAAATATTTATACATGAATATGAATCTCCACTCATTTCCTTTGTGGAACGCAGTTGCACTTGGCCGTCGCGGCAACGAACGCGGCGGGACGGACCGCGTTCGTTCGTTTATGGGTCGTTGCACAAAAAAAGTAATTGGCGAACATCCAAAAATAATTGTGTTCGATTACCTTGGTTTTAGTTGAGTAAGGAGACGTTTTTGTCTTCCTATATTGTGATATGCGATTTAGGCGCGTTAGGCCCGTTGTGCCTCCCGGGGGGGGGGGCAGTCTGTCTGATGGTCACTGCGACTAACGCAGAGGGATGAATTTTGGAGCGAATCAAAATTCCTTACGAACGGATTCCCTCTTCTCCTCCAAGACTTAGTCCCAAAGTTGAGCAAATCCGTGAATCTGACGCCAAGTTTCACAAGTTTTCCGCGCTCTAGTACAAATCGGCGCCCCAGCACGCTCAAAAATAGGTTACGGTAACGAAAACTCATCGGCAAATCGTCTGATCCAACTAATCGGAATGTAATCGTGTCCAAGTCGCTTTAGTTATTATTCCACCCGTGAACGCCCGGTGCAATTGCGACACGCAATTCGATTAACAGTACCACCCACGCCTACTTCTACTGGCGTTGAATATCTGTTGAACTAGGATCACGCAGGACGCGGCTCGTGAATAGAAAGGAATGACGCAAGGGACTACATCCAATTTATAACTAGCACAGCTCCGAATATTGTACTGAGTTGACTCATGCATTACTCCTTTCAGATAGGTGACGGGTACCGAGAGATGTTTTACATATCGGAACATCATGTGCGCGTCTGGAAACCACTCCAATTTCTCATGTCATTTACTTCTTAACATGCAAAATAGGGTGATGTGCTAGCGTATTTATAATGTCCCGCACAAGAACAACAATCATTGATGCCATCATGCATTGTACCAGTGCAGTGAGGGACTCGAGGGGACGAAGTTTACTTGGCACCTGAGGGAAGAGAGTTCTAATTCGTGAGGTAGTTTTCATCATGAACTGCTTAGTAGTTGCGTCTCACGGCCACCTTGTTTTCGAGTTGTTAGTTGATTTATTAGCACTTGTAGATATTTCCATAGACATAGAAATCTGATACGGAGGTATCCTTGTGAGGATGACTTGTGCTGAAAGTGAGAGCGCATACTTGTAGATGATAGGCCATGGGATATGTTCATTCTTTCTGTAAGAAGATGCCGTAAAATGTAATTCAGTTCCATTGGAGATAATCCGCTTACAGGAGCGTTTGCGTTACTGTTGCGAATCAATTTCTTGAGGCGCTAGTGTACTCAAAAGGGGCATGCCCACGCTGACTGAGCCTTGGAGAAGAGGGTGAACTTTGAGGGTAATGAAAATTGCTTACACTTCCCCCTAGACTCAAGCCCTAGTACTAGGGGGACCAGCAGGGGGTGGGGAGGAGCACGATGGCTTGGCGCTTTTATTCGCCAAACAGCTTCTGCGTTGGAAGATCATGGCAGTTCTTTACGTAAGCTCTGAGCAAAAGCTTAACTATTGCGCTATCAATGGGAAAAGTGTTCTTCACGATTCCAATCATTTTGCATGAAATGTTATGTTCAGTGTTCGCTTCCTACTTTTGCTGGATAGGAGATAGGAATTTTTTGATCTGATGTCCATATCCACAAATATTCACTGCTGACATCTTGAAGATATATGCAAAAAACTGCTAGACCAGATATAAGTCATCTAGTCTTATTATTTCCTCTCATCACAAGTTCTACCCGTAGTTATTCAATCGAAAACAGGGTGCCAACGATAGCGGAACTAGCCGTGAGAGTACTGTAATCGCCTGCTGTACGCAATCGCACGGGCGCAGGGTGGGATATAATACGTAACATCGTTTCCGGATGCCCCCCCCCCCCAGAACCACATTGCGCCGCGACGTATCTGTGCCAACTCTCTTTTCGTTTGTATTCTCGATTCTGCTGGTAATTAACTCGTATTAACTGGTGTCTAACTCGAATTGGAGACGATTTCCTTCAGTTATTGTCACTCTCATAAGCAGAAGCTCTTCTAAGAATGAATTTGAGTAAAATAAATCATTTATAGTAGATTATATTGAGTATGTTTCGTGAAAATACAATCGGTCGTCTTTATGTGGTACATGAGGTGAAATATACGGAACTGAGTGGTACTGCTTTAGATTATGGTGGACGCGCCTGCCACTGATACGTCGGCTCCTCAGAAGAAAACTCTTCCGGTGGAGAGCCTCAGGCGTTTGCAGAAGTTTGATGAAGCTTTGACTGCACTTGAAGTGGCCATCGCTCCAATTCTCCAAGTGGGCTTCGATGATCACATGAAGGTAGGAACTCATGAATTTCTTCGAAATTACTGTGTTCTTTTATCATGATTTTAGCGATCAGCGTTAGGACTCGTGCGGGTTGACGTTATGACAATGTTCGTTATGAATTCTAGGATGGTGCTGGGCCGCCTTGCGAGGACTGGATCCAAAGGATGATGTGCAGTTGGCTGATGAGCTAGTAAGCTTGTTTCAATAGAAACATCATGTCTCCAATAGTAGAGAAGTAGGGTCTATTATGGTTGGAGGGGGATCATGTATGCTATCGCTTCTCGCGCACTAGAGTGTAGAATTCAACTATCTCCAGCCTTGTTCTACGCTTGGTCAAGTGACTCGCTCAACCTCTTCCCCAGCCCACCCCCTAGGACTTCACAATACTTTTTCTGGCTTCAGAGTTTACCGTAGCTGCTGGAAAACGCTGTCGTATGATCACCTAGCTGAGAATGAGATCGGGAAAGTACTTCACATTTCAAGATCAAAATTTAGCGACGCACAAAGCAGTACGTGGAACGATTGAAATCGATTGAAACTCGAAAGAGTGCTCCAGGTCTGAATAAACGAGTTGCAAAGGTAGGTCCATCCTATCGTTTTCAAAAAAAATGTTTTTTTTTTTCAATTATTTCGATTTTCAAGGCATTCGTCAGAAATGCGTTGTGGAAGTACCTAGCAAACGCCCAAGAGAAGATTTGCCGGAAGGAAACAATTCTGCGGATCAAGCAGATTCAGATGTACGTGGCAGCATTTTTTGGAATTTCCATCTTTTTTTTTATTTTTATTGTTATTTTCATTTCTATTTTGAAGTGATCTGTTTGATTAAGATTTCCGATAACGAGGAGATCGAACACAATTCGGTATCCGAGAACGAAGACATTGAACACGATGATGAGGTAGAATCAGTCATGCCAGCTGCCGTCGAACAACCTTCGTATGCGGTTACGAATATCAAATTCGAAGTAAGCTGTCATCATTGCATACTTTAAACTACAGCATGTTTAAAATTGAAAGTTAAGCGAATTCTGTGGGCATCATTTAACAGTTTTCATAACGGTTCTGTCCATAAAGTTCTTCACTTCGTTTTGCCAGCATGTAGTAGTGATTTTTTCCCACAGCAAAGCAAGCAACCAAGATTCTAAGTGATCACCTTAAATTTATGTTCTTAATTCTGATTTTAGAGGTATTTGGTTTCAGGATATTGAGCCTCCACAACGACCTGCAAGAGTAAAAACAGGGCGAAGGAAATAGTTCATTCCTTGTCTCGTTGAGTCTACAGTGTATGTTCTTTATAGTTTGTTGATTCATTGTTGTTTGAGAACTCGTAAAGAGTCTAGGTTGTTGTTTGATCGGATTTTTTTCTTGTGATGCGAGATCCTTGTGCTTGGTGTCTATAGAAAGTGTTCACGCAACGTTGGTGCAGAACATCCCCTTACGCACTTGAATATTATTTGCTGTCCGAGCTCGTCAGAGCCTTTCCAAGTGTTCCGTTACATCTCTGGGAAACAAGTGCAAAGTATCGGTTTTTCTTTTTGAATCCTTGGAGCTTTTGTGGAGCGTTCAGACGTTGCTGTAGTCATCAGTCATGTTTGGCCCCAAACGTATTTTATTTTTGGAAATCTAAAAACATGATTTGTTTCAATTTGTTGGATGCGATATGTCTGTTTTGTTTGATGAAAGAGACGATGCGGATTATATTTATTTATTAATAATTTGTGGATAGGAGCACTATCATACATTTATTGTATCGCGAGCAAAAAAACGTTGACCATTAATTTTTCGATTTTGCCAAGGTCCACTGTCACCTGCGACAACTAGTTGGTGCCGGTGGCAGCGTTGTATTCGGTGACGAACTTCGCATACTTGGCTTTATTTTCTTCAGTCAAAATGAACTCATATCTATAATAGAGCTAATGTGACGGCATCCACTGAGTCTTTCGAATTCAAGGATGCTCCAAACATTTTCGTTCAAGAATGTAAACTAGATGCGTGTTTGGTTTATTCTCTTGTTTACTGATGGAAGGAGGGGTAGTAATGTTCGAGGTATAGATTTTGTCCCTCAAAAAAGTAGGCACCCTGTTCATCGGATATTGGTGGCCTAATCCTAATTCGATTTCCTAGATTGTGTAGCTGGCGTTTTTCGGCACAGCACTACTTCGACAACGTTAGTCCGTGGTCATACTTCGGGGCCCTTTTTCTTCAATCTTCCAGAGCTTCGTATTGTTCGCCTTCAGCCAACATCCTCAAAAAATCCCTTTCCCAATTTTTTGATTGCTTATTCAGTGCTTTTATAATAAATCAAGCAGATCCTCCACCCTACGAAAATACTAAGAAGAATTTGAGCGAAAGTCCTGAAAATATCATTTTGTCAATGCTTCGAACGCTGTTCAGCAGCCTGCGCTAGGAATTGCTCCGATAACTCATACAGGAGAAACTCGCACATACCGTGTGAAGGATTGCCATTTTAGAAAAGAGTATAGAAGTTAGCTATGTGCTCAATTTGTTCTCAGTAAAAAGGTCTGGCTCAAAAAAGCCTGTCAAAATGGTGGTAGTAACTTGATTATGAGGCAGAAGTGGTGTAGTGGCAAGTGGCGGTGCTTACCTCGCGAGTGGCTCGCGAACCGAGTCCTGGGTCAGCGTCGTCCGGACCAATTAAGCTTTATTTAGTTGGTATCGGACTTGTCTGGGAGGATAAAAACACTGACTTGTACATCGGCTGGCCCCCGCAAGTCATTGTATAGGCCACATCGCATTCAAATGCCACTGCGAATGTACAAATGGAAGTAGAATGCGTGCCGCATCCCAAAAAGGATTGATCAACTGGCAAAGCTTTATCCTTTACCCATAGCTATGGAAGTGGTGCACATGTGGTAGTGAAAGGGTCGATATAGAAATGTGAGATCTCGTTCAGGTTTAATTTTTACGAAAAAAAGTCAAAAGTTTTGGAGGACAACTAGGCGATTGTCTTCCAAGCAACAGCGGGTTATTTATTCAAATTTCTGCAAACAAACGCTTCTGATTTATTTTTCACCCTAAAATAT